TACGGCAATAGGCGCCGCGTGTCGGGCTCCGGTCGTACCTTCCTATGCACAGCCCTGCTCAAAGTACGGCATTTTGTAGACTTAATTTACTTTTACTTGAAACCTTTTCTACTAAATATACAGAGTGAGTTGTTAGAATCTGTAAACTAAAAGCTGGGACACCCCATAGTCATATCCATAGATTACTAATGTGAATAGATGGGAAACTCAATGGTAAAATTCTGAGTCGATGTGCTGCCATCTATTAAATTGGAGTGGTACTAAAATTCAATATGGCCGCCTCGAGCGGGCTTTTTGAAATTTAACTTTGTAGTAGCGCAAAAATGTAATGAAGAAAATCAAATAAAGCAAAAAAATTGGAAACATATTTGACTAGTTTCAAATCATAAAACAACCATATTGACTGTTTTGTGATTTGAAACTAGTCAAATATTTTGCCAATTTATATCTTTATTTGATTTTACTTCATTATATTTTTGCATTAATTTCAAACTTGAAATAAAATGCAATTTATTTTATTTATTTTTTTTTTATTACAGTAACTTAACGCCGCATCATATAATTTGTCTATTTAAACATGGAAATACTCAAACAAATATGCATTTACACCATTAAATATTTATAAAACAAACCTATCAAAAATGTTTTCTGTAACAAAATCAGCATATATAAGTGGTCAAGACCTTTATAAAAGTTTTGCGACTTGGAGTGGCAAATAAGTTTGAAAAAATTGAAGTTGAAGCATCATCCTTTTATACTATCAAGGCAAATTTGAGTGTGGATAAAATTTGCCATACGGTTATTGAGTCGACTAGTTAGGTTGAGGAGCATTTCTTCATCGGATACTTGTTTTCTTGATTCATTTATACAGCACTTGTAGTTATCAAATTTTTATTCATTATGTGGGCACTGTGATAAATGAATTTAACTTTAGAGTATAAATTAAAATTACACACGTTTGGGCCCTTGAAGATTTTAGGGTGTTTTCTTGTTTGATGTCAATGGCATTGAATCAATTTTTGATATTGATGGCTGAGGCTCAAATATTTCATCGATCGACAGGGTATTTTGGAGGGCCAACATTTTCTTTACAACAATGATCATTTAAAAACTGAAAACAGAAAGAAAATTAAATAATAAACCAATTATTTTAACACTGAATCAAGAACAAGTTTGTAAATATTACTTACCGTTTGTGCCAAACAGTGATAAGACACTTATTACAAATTATTTGGTTATGGTTATCGTTAATATAACGACTGCATATTTAATGTGGTATAAATTGCATCACTACCAATATCTGGGAGTGCTTTATTGTTTGTTGCTGAAATCCATCTTCCCGTCTTTTGAAAACATGCTTAAAATTGGAAGGTGTTGAAAAATAAATCTAGATTCTAGATGAAACAAAATCCAATACACATACACCATCAAATAATGCAATAGCCATTTTAATTTCTCAAAGTTTGAAGTTTTGACGAGCTGACAACTGACATGACATTTCGATACGAGCGCCATCCCTTTAATTGGAGTGGTACTAAATTACCAACCTCATGTTTTTCCATTTGAGTTACCAGCCCCTGGGGGGCAATTTTCAGAGTATGGGAGCACTCATTTCTCTCAAGATTCTCATCAGAAATGTCATATGTAAATGTGGAACCGCTGTTTTTAAAGGCCTCGGGGATTAAAATTCTTAGGAGAATTTTAATTATCTCTAAATAAACCGAGAGAAACAGTCAGTGAGTTCACACTGGCCCTAAGAGCCCTAAAAATACTGTTTTACGTTGACGTGAATTCTCTCGAGTTTGAAAATAGCCCCCCTGGTCATATCCTTCAGTATCTACGTTTACACCGAAGCGGTTGAAAAATAAATAATGTTATAAATTCAGATCGAATTTTTGTACTAAAAAATACAGTTCTGTATACAAGTACATACACAGTATTGGCCGTCGAACATCTTCCAATATCCCTTGGCACAAGTGCGAGTAAAAGCTACAGAGAGTTGGCATTGGAGTGAGCGGAAAAGGAATGGTATCAACGTTGCTATTTATACGAACCGACTACGTTGAAACGTTGGCTAGGCCGTACAGGCTGGCATCGCTGGTATTGTTCCTTTCCTGCTTGCCCTAGTGCTGGGTCTCTGTAGTTTTCACACGCCCGTGTGCCAAGGGATATTGTAAGATGTTCGATGGCCAATTCCGTATACCTAGTTTACAGTGAGCCAAATTAATTGTTTTTAATGACAACCTATTTTATTTAATTTTTGGATCATAGATACTAAACTCGAATGAAGATATATAATGCTTAACAATCTATATTATGTTCTTCACAGTTTAACAAACACCCTTAAATCCCACTTTCAATCAGATTTTTTTTCAGAATCAATAGATTTTTTTTTCAACCCCTATTATCTCCCCATTTTTATTTATTTATTCTTTCCCTTGTAGAGCTTGATTTTTACTATACATTTCATGTTGATAAAGCTTTTGGTTTTTGATTTCAATTCTCTTAATTTTAACCCCCCATTTTATTCAGATTTTTTAAAATCAATAGGCTTTGTCCCCATATGGAGTTTGATTTTTGCCAAAATTTTCAACTTTATATTATTGTTCGTTTTTGAGAATCAATTAGGTTTCATCTCCTTATAGAGCTAAATTTTTACGAAAATGTTCAGGTTGATATCGCTTTTCGTTTTTTATTTCATTTTTTTTTATTATTTCAAGTCCCCTTTAAACCGCCCATTTTTAATCAGATTTTTTCAAAATTAAAGGGCTTCTTCCCCTTATGGAGCTTGATTTTTGCTAAAAATTTCAAATTTTTAATAGACTACTGTGTGAAGAGTAAATTAAATACAATCTTCTACTCGTATAAAGATTATGGTTTACTATACTACAGACATATACCTACAGAGTATTTGAAAAAGTTGGACTTACTTTAAACATTATAACCTACATTTATTAAATTATACCGGGTTGCAGTGGAGGCCGGTGCATAAGTACTGTAGAGCTGCAGAACGGCCAAAAAATGCAAGAATCTCATCGACAGAAATTATTTTAGACATTCTACAATATACGTAAAACAAATTTTATGGATAATCTCATTAATTTTTATTATTAAATAGTATCCATAACGCAACGAACGTATCCTATTGTCCGTTCATAGCTGAAAAGTCCAGAGCGGACCAATGGAAGACTTAACAAAACCTCGCCAGATCTTGAAGAACACCCAATGTTTTTAATCACAAGCCGCCACTGTCGGATTGCCAAATAAGAAAGGACGTCTACTATATTTATAACAATTTCAAGCGATTTTTCAGGAATGCTTTTTTAGTACTTAATCTTTTTTCCTAAAGCTGTGGGGCTGACGGTTTCTGACGGCGTCCTCTCTTATTTGACCACCTGGTACAATTATTTAAAAAAGAGGTCATAAGGTTTAAAAAAAAGTTTAACTTTTTTAAGCATGTCTCCTTGCTAGTTGATAATTTTTCGAACGCTTTTTTGTAAAACTTATCAAAACATTTTCATAGGTATAGGAATCCTTTATTTAGTCCCTATGAATGAAACAAAATTTAGATTAATAATAAAAAACTTTTTTCCTTCCTTAAGGTTTTGGCTTTGGTAATTATATCCATTTGCCACAGATAAGTATTAAAATACCGAAATTAAAATAAAGAAAATTTGAAATAATTTAAATTAATATCAAAAAAAAAAAGAAAACAACTTGATTCATTGTAAATTTTGTATTATAAACATAACTGTAATGTTCAGTACAAACATTCAATATTCAATCTATGATATTTTAAGACAAACTTCCTGAATTTCTAATGTTAATATTTATCAATCGCTTCAGTACAAACATTCAATATTCAATCTATGATATTTTAAGACAAACTTCCTGAATTTCTAATGTTAATATTTATCAATCGCTTCAGTAACAACGTACTGTAAGGATACAAGATTTTTTTCTGATTTAGAAGTTGGGAAAATCGATGCTAAGTTCTAATTTGTAAATAATGATCTATTATTCTGAGTTTGAAGTCAGAAAAATCCATATTTCCGAGTTACAAGTCGCAAAAATTTATTTTTCTGAGTTAAAAGTAAAAAAAATAGATATTTCCGAGTTTTAAGTCGGCAAAATCAAAAAATATATTTTGTGGGCCTTCTACACTTCCATACTTAAGATAACTTCAAAAGTAACAGTTATTTTTAACATTAATTATGCAGAGAACCTTTATTTTAATCAAGATAGGTAGTCCATGAAATATAATCCTTGTTTAGATCATAATTATTGTACTTTCGTACAATCTTTGATCTTAATATTTACTAAAATAGTAGATTGTGCAACAAGTTCGCAAACAGATATTTTTTCCGCCGAAGTTTATGGCATGAACTAGGCCCGCGCAGACGTTGTGCCGAATGTGTGCAAAAAATACGAGCGGCCGAAATCAAAGGACGGCAAAAGGGTTAGACAAAATAGTGCAATTAATACGATTTTTTTTAACATTACTAGTATCCTTAGCATTGGAGAAAAGGTATTCCTCCAAATTCAAATTAATCAAAAAACTTTTTAAGGACGAGTATGGCACATTTAGCAATTATGTCCACAGAACGTGACTCTATGGATTCCTTTTATTTCGCCTAGTTAATTAAAGATTTTGCCGATAAAAATTCAAGAACAGAATGTTTTGAATAAGTTTTATTCCTTATTTTATTCTTGTATAAACTTTTTAGTTTTTTTGTTATTTTTTGTTTTCTCAACTTTTTCATTTGTGTGTGTATCTACCAATGTATCAATTTTTTGTTACAACTTTAAAAAACAGGGCGTACAGTTACATTCCTAGTCATCCCATAAAGAAAATATTCCGTCATGTATTAAAAGTCAGCTGTTCACAGTTGACAAAATTAGGATTTTTATTTTATTTAAAAATAGAACAATATTCTTTTATCAAAAAACAACACAGGACTTATTTTTTTATCACTTATTAATATTATATTTTTTTACAGAAAATTCATAATGCACTCTTAAATTCTGGAATGAAACCACTTAACCACAAGTCACTTCAGAAAGATGACAGTAACTTAACGAATGAAAAATCTGACGAATCGACAACCGTTTAAATTTATTTAGATGGAAAACTCTACAGTCGAAGCTCCAGTATCTACTTCTTCTTATATACACTCCAATCTAATGTATTATGTAAATTTTAAAAATTGTTATAAACTGCAATGTTAGTACAAATATTATGTTAATAATCTCAGAATTGTTCAATGTATGTATAACGAATTTACTAGAAAAACACATCAAATAAGAAGACTTCTTCAAAGATAAATACCTACGTAGAGACCTAAAAAGGTTGTGAGATTCGATATACTTATTTTTTTTTCTAATATGCTCAATTTTTCTTAATACATTTATGCATTCGTTCAAACTACAAATCAAAAATGTTGTTCCATTAATTATTCCTGAGCTTCAGCTCCCAAGTATTTAATGCACCAAGTGCCAAATCTCCATCCTTTCATTTTATAATTAATAGGTAGGTACCACCGCAGAGAACAATATTAGGACTACATCCAAATGAAATAAAGTGTCCAAAACAAAATTATCTTATTTAGGGCATACCACTGATAAAGAAGCTACCTATTACCATCCAAAAACATTGCCGAACTCTGCAGATTTCTTGGCATAATTAACCATTACCATTCATTTGTTCCGAAGTTAGCTACATCATCTGTTACGGAAAAATGTTAAATTCGAAGGAGAGAAGAATATGATGATTCTGCGTTTAAGAAACTGAAATAAATCACTAGTTCGAAATTCTGTTACTTTAACAAATTTCAAACATTTTATTAAATATCACGGACTGTAGCTTTCGCTTCGCAATCATTAACAAAGGCAGAGAAGATTTACAGTCAGCTTGACAGAAAAGATATGCATATACTGCTTTTATTTGGCAAGTTAAAAATATTTTTTCAATATTGTTAAACAATCATAGTAGTAGTACATTCAGGGATTCAACACCTATTGCAATGTTATTACAGCCAAAAAAGTCCCACTTTGACATTCTTCTATAATTTATTTGAAAATGCATGATAGCACAGTTTTTTTTATGGCAAAGGTCTATATTTTTATATAATTTTGCTATCATTCATTAGCAAATAATCAACAATTTTTTGTACCAAATTATTCGCTTTCTGGTCCACAGTCAACAAAGTTTGCGAACTTTTGAATGTTCCTGAAGAATTTCATGGGGCATGAATGTCTCAGGCAATCCAACGAGCAGTCAGAATGGGCGACGATTGGCAAAAAAATAAAGTCTTTAGGTGACAGTCACAAAAATTAGATTTTACGATTTTATTATAATCCTAAACTATAACTTTTTTATTTGATCAATAAAAATATTTGAAACTATTTTTGCATTTAAGTTTCTTTTTTTCAGGAACAAGATTGTAAAAAAAATATTGATCGTTGATCTATATTAATGTATTAGTTTCAATATTTTTTTTTACATTCTAACAGCTAAGAGACAAACTTGTTATTAGCCGAGTTATTAGCCCAACGGGTATAGACTTTCTTAAAAATTAATGTTGAAAATGTCAAGATGGAAGCAGACAGTATACAAATTTTCATTGACGAAATGCTAAAACTTCGACTCCACAATGAGCTCAGCTTTTATTAAATATTTTCGATCTTCCACGAATTACCTCAATTTATGCTCGCCAAAAACAATTTTTATTTTATGTGAAAAAAAAACAAAGTCTCACAGGTCCTCAGGGCCTTTTATTCTAACCACTAACGCTCCAGTCCATCCAGTACCCAGACAACACACCAAATCCCAGAGATATCCACAGCATATCTTTTGTGGATATCCAATATACCCACAGGATATCAGAAATATCCCGTGGATCTAATATGGATATCCAAATGTCCGTCTATATCCAGAATATAGAAGATATCCTATGGATATCCAGCAAAATATCTAATGGGTATCTTCCAGACAATACAAGAAATCCCAGAGATATCCACAGAATATATTTTGTGGATATCCTATATATCCAGTAGTGGATCTAATATGGATATCCAAATGTCCGTCTATATCCTAGGATATGAAGATATTGGGATATTCAGCAAAAATTTTGTGGGTATCTTTAGTAGAGGTTCATAAGTAACCAATGATTATTGAATAACGTCGAAAGAAAATAGCAGAGATAAAAAATATTTTCAGCACTCAATATATTTTCAACACTCTGCCTTTGATTTGCCCACTAAGGAGAAAGTCATCCTTATTAGGACTCTTCAACAATAAATGGAAATTCTCGACTCCAGTCTCTAATGGAGTCTGATTGGGATACCAATTTCGATCGAACTCAATTACGGCGGATTGAGCATGACAACGAGCGAAAGTGGTATCGCCATTTATACTTAGTAAGCAAAATCAAAAATTACATCTAGTGGATATCCACCTTGGTTTGCGTTCGCGCCTAGACTTTGATATATTTATGTCCATGGGATATTGAATACACCTTAAAAAAAAATAATTTTAAATATCTGAACGGTACTATTAGCCACAATGGCGAGCACAATGGCGTAATTTTTTAATAATTTGCTATATAATTACTATTATTTATGGACATTTGCATGTCTATAAATTACATATTTATCATGGATATAAAATAGATATACACCATGGACTGGACATTCAGTGGATATTGGGATGTCCAGTAGATATCCAAAGGATTTGGTGTGCTGTCTGGGTATCTTCCCAAACTATTGGGTGGGTAGCAGTGTTGGAAACATTACTTTTTTTCAAGCACATAATACACATACGTATTTACCATTAGAAAAACTGTAGGAGAGACGAAGATATTAGAACAAGTTTTGCAATCAAGAGCTAAAACCAACGTTCGCAAAAGGTCTATTAAAAAATTATTAAACTCATTTTAAACAATTCTTAAGTATGAATTGTTAAAATTAAATATTATTTTTTGATAATTTTGTGGGAAATTTATAGTAATATATTTTTGCATAATTATTCTTTCGTATACATTTACGTAGAAAGCAAAAATCTAGTTTTATTTTGTATAGAACATCCTCTAAACAACTTCATGGTTATCTTTCTACTAACAAGAATGTAAATCATAATTAATGGATCAAACGACTTACCCGAAGGAAGTTCGATCCTAATTATGCGAGCATCCTTGTTAGTGGAAATAAAGTCCCACCTCCACCATATTACTTTATACTATTTTTAACCCCAAACTCCTAGGCTCCATAACAGGTAATGAGTAATTTAGGCAGACAGCGATAGAGAATAGGATAAAATTTTGACAATCTGAACATGTGGGTCAGCGGCATAACACAGGTATACTACAGGATTATCTTTATTTAATTTAATTAAATGCCCGGCTTTATGTGCTCAGCTTAACTTCCTAGTTCCAAGAATTAATTCCAGGTACAGCTGCATCTTCATTCTTCCCACTCCCAGAACAAACTTATTATGTCAGTCTCCATTGTACCATATGCTGTCCACGGTTAATGACTCGAGTAAAGAAATTGATCTATTTTGTACTACCATCTCAAAGAATAAAAAACTTTATTCCTGATTTATATCCATATATTCCTAATTAAAATATTTAGTGTAATGTAATTTAGTGTAATTAAGTTTTTTATGTTTTTGTATCTAATTTCATCTTTATATATTAGTTGTTTCGCATGCGATATGTGTGAGTAACCTTTTTTCTCCACTGGAGTTTTTTTCAGATTACTCATACAATCTCATTTATAGTTTTACTTTAAAATTTGTTTTGCTTTTATTGTATTATTTACAAATATATGTTTATTAATGTTAAGTGCGCATTCTGTAATAGGCCTTGGCCGTTGAATGTAAGAATAAATAAATAAAACAAATAAATAAATTTCCACTAAAAAGGATGCTCGCATAATTAGGATTAAACTTTCTTCAGGTAAGTCGTTTGATCCATTAAAAATATCACAATCGAAAAATAATTTATTATAATTTTGGCAAAGTCGATCAATAAAAAGTGTTCTGTCCATAGTTGGTTCGATGTCTTCTTACTTGAACTAGGGAGGTGTGTCGTGTCCGCCTGATAGGCACCAGAAAGCTGATTTACTTTAACAGGAAGTGCAACACATCATCCTATTCAACCGCTTAAAAAGGAATAGGAGAAGTAATCGTTTCCTTCTATCTTCTAAGCTGTGTAGACCGCAAAGCATTATTCTCTTTTCATAGCAGATATCTTGATATGGAAACCGAAATTTTAATAGTAGATATTTAACTTGTGCCAGATTACAGAACAGTATGACTAAACAGTTGAATAGGAATGTAAAATAGCTTTGGCGTTATTTATGTGATGAGTGACGTTTAAACAAAGCATTCTAAAAGCTTTGCACACAATAGACTCGATAGGCAGGTTAAAGGATACACTTGTGTCAAAGATGATGCCGAGATCGTTTACCGAAGAGGAATTTTTTGTCACATTATCGACCTTGTAAGAGTTCAGAGTAGGGTTGGGAGGAGATCTTCTGAAGTGGATTGTAGCACATTTATGAACATTAGAGACAAATGGTTTATTTTGCACCACTAGGTGAAGCGATCGAGGCCAAGTTCACTAGTCTTTGTGCTAATAATATAAAAGTAATTTTAAAAAACCGACTTCAAAATCGTGCAGATTCCATCACCACATCCTAACCAAACTTATATGGGATCACCCCCGAGGTACTCCCTTACTAACAAAAAAAATCATAGTAATGGGACAGTAAAAAATGAAGTGAGGATTTTCTCATGGACCCAATAATTAGATTTTGACAAATTTATATGGGACCACCCCTGAGGTAGGTACCCCTTTCTAACAAAAAAAAAGAATCATAGAAATCGGACAAGGTAATAAAGAATTATCGCTAAACATACATGAAAAATGAAGAGTTTGAGGATTTTCTCATGGACCCAATTATTAGATTTTGACAAAATTTATATAGGACTGACTACCCCTGAAGGGCCACTTTCTAACAAAAAAAGAATCATTTAAAATTTGACACCCTATTAAAGAATTATTGCTGAACATACATAAAAAATATACCGACGAATCGAGAACCTCCTTTTTTGTCGGTTAAAAAACTTAAGGTCGTCTGCAAGTAACAGGCAGTCACTGTTTCGAAAACAATCTGTTGCGTCGTTCAGAAAGAATAAAAATAGGACAAGGCCTTATGGAACACCTGATCACTGATAATCCACTACAGTTTTGCACAGTAACACGCTGAGAACGATGACTTTAGGTAGGAGTTGAACCAATTAAGGTAATTACCCGAAATACCAACGTCTGCTAGTTTCTAAGTTCATGGCAAAAGCACAGCATGCAAAAGCTTTAGACGTCTGTATCGATAGCGTCAACCCGATGACTAGATTCGAGAGATGTCGTTTACTCATTTAACCAACCGCAGTTCTTAAATTGGTATAGGAAAAAAAACTAGATAGAATTTGGCTAATGGGGTCTCTTGCCCAAAATAGTTTGGTAATCCCAGGGACCTATTTTCAAGATTATTAGAAATGTCATGAGTCAATGTGGAAACGCTGTTTTTAAAGGCATCAAGGATTAAAATTCTTAGCATAATTTTAATTATATCTAGTCAGCGAGTTCACACTGACCCTAAAAATACTGTTTTACGTTGATGTATATTTATCTCGAGAGAAATGAATTCACTTGAGTTTTGAAAATAGCCCCCCTGGTCTAGATGGTAAGTCATAAAAAAGCGTACTCCAAAGAAACTTCATTTTAACTACTATTAAGAAATAAATAACCATCAGAATATAATTTTTTATTTATTCTTCTCTATATAATTTGTTATAAAAAATGTGAGTCATTCTCAAATACATATATGTATATTTTCAAACTTTTGATAGTTCACAGTTTGCCACTTGTGTGTGAACATCCTCTCCGCCCGGTGCGATGATTTTTGGTTTTGTTTTTTCTTATGAGACCTCGGCATACTATCTCTCACTTTTTTGGGTACTACACTGGTTCAATCCTTTCACACCTTCACACAAAAACTACCATGTTATTTTGAACCATTTCCTGAAATACATTTATAATTTGAGGATAATTGCATAATAATTAGGTACACTAAAATAGATATTTTATAATATTCATAGTCTGCCTTATACAAAATTATCTTCATAAAAATTCGTTTTGTATGTTATAATCATGAAAAAGTTTTTTTTAATCAGTGTTTAGTACTGCAAATAGCTATTTAAGAAAAAAAAAATAAATGGCCAAACCTGAAGAAACGTACTGGCCAGGTAAACATATCCACCATTCCATCAACGATTTTGAAAATGCTGAGACTGTAAAAACAAAATTAATTATAAAAATTTGCCATTCATGAGGGTAAATT